CTCTCTTTTAGCCCAAACTACTTCACAGGATTGTTGTTATGGGAAAAAATGGAAAAAGGGAATGCCATGTATGCCATCTTAAACTCCTGAACAAAAAAGGGGGATATAAATCTCATACATCATCAAATTGAATTTTCCTGTGGACTAGAAAGCCTATGTTGAAAGCAGCAGTGATAAAAGTAGATGAATGCTTATTTCCAAAACACTAGGTTCAACTTTGTAATAAAAGTACAAATATCAAATATTTTACTTTCATGTTCATCTTTGGCAGCCTTAATCTTGTGTCAGGCACCGTACTAAGTGTTCCAGGCCAGATATGATTTTTATTTTTATGTGCCAGGATACATTAATCTGCAGAAAAGGATGCATTTGGCTGAACCCAAATATAGTAATATTTAAGTGAAGACCCACTGAAATCTTTGTGATTTAAGGTAATCATGACAAATGTACATTCCACTGATTTTAACAGATCTTATTTTGCATACGAATTCAGACACAAGAGGGGAGTCTCATTAAAGAAAGGCAGTTTATGTTCTTTTGATCATATGTAAATCTGTTCAGGAAATTTGTAAAGTAAATTTTACTTTAGCCATATTTATCTTTTTTTTTTTTCATCTTTTTTGGTTTATATATGTGCATGTATTTTACCAGTTGTAGTTTCTGGCTCTGTCCATCATTTTAAATGTGTATTTTAAAGTTGTTACAGCCTATGGATTAAAATAACAAAAACCATTATTATTACTACTCTATTCTTAGAATGCTATTCCTAAAGAATAGTTCTTTCCTTAACTAGTTATTTTGAAATTGCACGGTCTTGGCAAGAAAGTCAGAGTAATGATGGGAAAAATAGAATTACGGTAGACCTCCAGCTGTTATTTCCATGACAACTGATGAAAGGAATGTGTGTGTTTAAAAAAAAAAAAAAAGTTTTTCTACTTTCATACTATTCAAATACAACCTAGACTTTTGCATCTATATGTAGATAAGTATTTACATGTGAAAGGTGAGAACAACAGTAAACAAAGGTGAGAACAGGTAAGAACCAAACAGAATAGTGACCCTCCAAGGAGTCATTTAAGATTTTAACAGTAACAGTACATACACAATACCCTTGCACAGTTGCAGATAGATAAAGTACACTTCTAAAACAACTACTGTATAAAAGATCATGTCCAAGGCAACTTTCAGTATATTTTATTTCTGGGAAGTGATACTATCTGCTTCCACTGTTTTGCATATATGTACTCCTTCAGGATTATCTACTTACTGGCATTACTACAACTATGTCCTCAGCTTTTCTTTCTGCCTATCAGGGCCTTGCAGAACAAAGTCCTAAGAGAATACTGCCTATCAGCCAATCTTACCATTCAGTGTATTTTTGAGCTAGTTAGCTGTTTACCAGCTACCTCTTCCCATCTCAAGCGATTATATATGTATACTGTACATGAAGTTAATTGCTATTGTCACCATCTACAAATAATTCTGGAGCTTCCGTTTGAGGTTCTGTGTGCATCGAAAACAGGTTTTATTCAGACATCATTCACATACTACTTTAAGCGATGATTAGTTTTAACTATGGCTAAAGCCAGTGTCAGTATTGCACAGAAACAAAATATGGCTTTTTTGGCCAACTCCTGATTTGTAGTCTTTCTTTTTTAGTGCTGGTGCCCTGTACTTCGCTCTATTGTTTAGCGTATTGGAAGGGACACAAAAGCGAATCTGGTGTGTGCCAGGAAATTGTAAAACTCCCACTCACACATTGCGCTATGCCACAACTGTGATCAGTTAGTGAACTACAAACAATGTTAAATTGTGGAAAATCTGTCCTAAATGCAAATAAAATAATCATAAAATAAAATAGCTTATTCACTGACTCTATTCACATTACAGTAAGCCAAAACCAAACCAGACCTACTATGGATCAATGTGATAGATGCATCAAATAATATATTTCTAAAAGTAATCTCATTTTTGTTGTTGTTTTGATCTTCAAATTAACTGCAAAGAAAATTCTAAGTCACATTTTATACAGTTGCAAACAATCTGAAGCCCCGAGGCTGGTTATGTGTGTTTCAGCTATTCCCAAGCACTTCAAAAACCTGCACAACCAGCTTGATCAAAGACCATAGCAGGCAAAAATTTAATATATATATATATATATATTCATCTTGCAAGCCATTATGTCTGTATATTTCCTTTTGATTTATTCAATTCTATATATACTAAATTGTGTGTACTAAATACAAAATTATATGTACTAAATATAAAATTATTTTTTTTAAAAAAAAACCCTTCAGGGAATACTCCTACTCTTTCTTGGGAGATCAGCTGAGGGCCACAGAACGCCACAGACCTCCGTCAAAGCCAGAGAGAAAGGGTGGCCTTGGATTTGCACAATCTTTTGCACATGTCTTTGCTTTCCCAACACACAGTAAACAAGGGCCAGCACTTGATTTAGCAAACTGCATTCCCATTGGTTTCTATATAAGAGAAATTAAGTTAAAATGAAAACCTCAGACTGAGAAACACACACACACACACACACAAAACCTTACCCCCTGCAAATTAGCAGAATTTAGGAAGTAGTGATTCCTTGGCTTTGAGTCTCCCTGCCTCCACATGGAGACAATTGCTTTCCCATCACAATGTTGTTCTTTCGGAACTACACAAGCAGGACCTCTTTTTACAAAGAATGATCCAATCCCTTTGATCTTTCCAATCATGTATTTAAACTGCTACATTTTTATTAAAGTATCAAAAGTGTACATTTCTCAATATATCTGTACATTTTGCATATAAAAACACCATTGTACAATAATCATCCCTCCCCCACACAATAGCTTACAAACTTGGTATTATTTTCACCAGTTATGAAACTAGGTCCCGCTCAACAGTCCAGCTCAAGTTTTGCAAACATCTTTGAAAAGAGGAGGCAAAAAAGACACACACTCACACCCCATAGGCAGTTTCTAGTACACAGTTCTTCAGCACTGGTTGTGTCAGACTTATAATCCGAAGGCAACAAAGAGCACACATCAATTCACAGCTTTTACATGCACGAGTTACACAACAGATTGTGTCCAAATTTGGTTGTCTTAATGTGAAAAAGAAAGAAAAGAAAACCTTAATACTAAATTCAATGCCAAGTGTAACAGCATATTTGGTAACCTTTTCTGTTTCTCTATCAACTCTTCAAGGATATTGGGAAACAAAAACAAAGGAGATGGAATAACAATTTGGTTTTTACAGAATGCTTCAGTGGTAAGGAAGGACTAAGGAGAACCATCAAGATACCTTTAATCAGAGTTGCATCGAGCATGCCAACCTGGTCATTGACATTTGGGAAATTCCAAACAGAGGCAGGGAGCACAGCAAAACAAACTTTTGTTTCAGGCTTTCTTACAGTTCCCACTCCTATGGGGGGGGGGGTTACGATAGCAGAGAAGGAACAAGGCTCTTAGGCAGACTTTGAACAGAAACTTTTCTTGAGAGGGGAAAGCTACAGTGCAGAAAGTGTTCCCCTTTGTGCCACCAAATATTGCACAAGTCTGCTAACGGAGTGGTGGCACTATTTTTTTTTTCCAGCTTTTTTTAGCTCATAGGGGACCTTAGTGCTTTACAACCTTTGTAATAACTGAACATAAGCTCTGGCCTACATAAAACAAGAGCTTTACATAGTAAACTGGAAGAAACTAGATGGACAATCGTAGCGGCTAACATTTCAAAATTGGAAAATTGGGGGTACAACTATGTTTTTCTATGCAAGCCATTGAAATGAATCAGAATTTCACATACCCTTGCAAAGCTTTCCATTCATCTCAATAGGAGTTGCTCAGGAAAGAGAACACCCTGGCAGATCCATGCCTTTTCAAAAAAAAAACAACAACTAGTATAATGTGTTCATTTTAGAAAAAGAAAAAACCTTCACACCCTATAAAAGATATGCCACTGCGGGTTTTAGATTGCCTACTCAGACCTCTGACTATACAAGCAGATTTTAGGAATCATCTGAACAGTATTCAGGAGAAAAATTAATAGTCATTTGCAAATAGGAATCTGTCCTACAAAAACAGCTCTTCCTCTGAGTGCCCAAATTTTAGGATCCATATTGCACAGTATCTGAGAACTCAATTCACAACAGGCCAAGGAGGAGCTCTGGAGAAGCAAATGAAAAATAATAATAATAATAATAAGCCAATCATGTGCTCTGAAGATTTATTTTTTTAAAAAAGTTAAGTGCCCTGGTTTTGTAATCACTTCTCTGCAATTACTGACAGCAGAGTCAGGAATTTTACAAGATTGTATTAAAGGCAGTGGAATAGACAAAACTGTGGTGAAGGCATGTTTCCAGCAGATAGATTTAGTTCATATCGGCCTGGCCATTGCACTTTTGTTGACAGGAGTTAACTGTTAAGAGTAACCAGCCAGCCAGTTACACAGGCCACATCCTGGAACCTTTTTACCAACAAAGTTCCATAATCAGAAACCACATGTTCAGGCACCAATAGCAATTTTACATGAGCATGAAATTTGGGATCAAGTGCAGAAAGAAATCAGGTTTTTGTGCAAGATGATGGGCAGACTTTTAGAAACCCACCACCCACTGGACAAAAAAGGAAGTTGCTATAGTTGTGATCGGGTGTCTAAGCAAAATGCTTATGCCATGAAAAAAACAAAAGTGTTGCTGAAAATTGGAACAGAATGTAAAGCTGGTAATGTAGTGGCTTGTCAGTATAATCAAATGAAAAGAAACATTTTATGGGGGGAAAAAGCGCCACAGCTAGAATGAGGTCATGCCATCCTGATCCACATGAACAGTTCCTCACTTTACTACCATCCTGGCCTGTAGATTCACAGTTGTAGTAGCATTTACCCCATTGTTAGTCACTGTTTAAAAGTGCTATGCCCTGCCCAGCCTCCTGTACTTTTATTTCTAACCCTGCATTTCCCAAAAAGGCAGGTCAACATTCCAGAATTGTCATCCAACACTAATTAGGTAGATATTGGCTTTTTTTTTTTTTTAATAAACTTGCAAGCTTGCAAACAGCTTTTAAAAGGCACCTTAGTACCACTCTACAGAAGAGTGGTACCTGCTATTGAATTTCATTTTGGATTTTCTTTTTTTAAAAAAATATAAATAGCTCTTCATTTTTTTAAAAAATACATCCTCAGGTTGAGGTATACAGTAGCCCATGTCTTGGCAATGTAAGGATAACAAGGAGTGCTTAGCTGGAGACGGTCATCATGTAGCTTTTAGAAGGGCTAGTGCGCCCCAGCATCATCTGATTTTTGCAGGTGAGCATCCCGTAGGAGCTCACAGGTGCTGCTGACGCTTCATACAGAACGCAGATGGATCCATCCTCCCCTATTCGGTAGGATACTTCATAAGGGTCTACCCAGAGCGTGAGCTCACTGGGCAAGAGCTGGTACAGTTGCTGAAGGCTGAGTCCAATCTGGCTAGCTGCTTTGCTGATGATAGGGTCCATTTTATGGTTGATACGGATGCAGCGGTAGCCAGACCCTTTGAATGGTTTCTCAGGGAACCAGTGATGTTTGTAATGCTCTGCAAAGGAACAAAAAAGAAATATCATAAATGGTAAGAGATCCCTGGGGTTAATGGCCAAACAAGAGATAGAATACATTTTCCACACAAAGAAACTTTCAGCTGAAGTTCTAGTCTAAGATTTAATCAAACTCTCTTTCTCTTCTAGCAATATTACATTAGAGTTCTAGATTCACAGAATCATAAGGACAGAAGGGACCTCAGAGTCCATCTGGTCCAACCCCCTCTGAGTATAGGATCCACTAGAGCATCTCTGATAGATGATCACCTCGGCTCTGATCTCCAGGTCCCTCTCTCCTTCATAGAATGACAGCACAATGAAGAGTTAAATTGTTGGTTGGGAACCCTCCCCACCCCCATCATTTTCCAATAAGAACAGTAAAAAAAAAAAAAGCCTACACACAAATCAATAAATAAATCCAATTTATCTGAAACATGGCAATAAATAGCCTTTTTAAATCAAATGACCAAAAATTCTAAAGCTTGGGGCGGAAAAGTCCAAAAGATTTGAACTAAATGCATTAGCCATAGAATTTCAGTAACTGAAAGCTCCTTAGCAGACAATAGCCAGAGCAACCTTCTCCGCACTTCAAGTATACAGCTCTATCCCATAATAAATTTGATTATAAAGCCCTTCTGAGTATGTTTTATACTTAATAGCACAATAGTGTAACCAGATGAAGGGAGCCCTGTAACCTGAGACTAGTCAGTCTTAAGCAGCCTGCCTGAAATCCTGCTGGCCTGGAAATTAGGCCTGCTGAACAGAACGGTGCTTTTACTGGGGGGGGGGGGGGGGGAGACACCCTTCAGATATGACTTTTAAGACTTTGACAGAATGGAAATACACAGTCATTTCACTCTCATCCCAGGGTTTCAAATGATTTGTAGAACAGCACTTTTCAACTTCAACCAGCTCCAGAAGGAACAGATATGCCCACCGTGCAAGATCCTCTGCAACTAGTCATGCCAGTCCCCAAACAAATCCTCAGGGGATTCATCTGCGTAAGACCTATTTACTCTTCTGCTCTGCACTTCTCCCTTTTGTTTTGCTGAGTCTGATTCTTCTGCAAAGTAGCTTCCCAACGGACTGTAAAAGCCGCCATCTAGTTTCCTTGATCACCAGAACAAAGAGCACTTTTTCCCCAGTCTAATTTAGGACAGAAAATTTCAATCCCAGGGCTGCAATGCAGCCATCCCCAACATGGTGCCTCTAGAAGCACTGGACTATAGTTCTCCTCATTCTCATAATGTTGGGAAAAAACAGGTTGGTAAAGGCAGATTATAGTTGGGGGGCAAGGGGGAATGATTTGTCACTAAACTGGATTGGACATATGCTTGCTACCTGGGAGTAGCTATTACAGGAAAAAAAATATTTTAAAGAACGCATTGCTTTTAAAAAAAAACTCCAATTGAAGAAGGACATACCACAAACTAAAGGGGAGGCAAATATCGAATGCTGAAAATAGCTTAAACGTATTTTGGGTGGTAGAGAGGAAGCTCAGAGATGAGACTAAAAAGGCTAAAGGTGGGAAGGAGGGAGGGAAAGAAGAAAAAGAAAATCCAACGGTCCAGTGGATATCCCACTTTTTTCTAGGGACAGAAAAGTTAAGTTTCGTTCCCCAGACGTGGCCAAAGATCCCTGGAGTACACTTCAGGGAGGCGCCGTCTCTCACCTGTAAGCGCCTCTTCAAGAGCCCCACTGAAAACCTGAAGCTGCTGCTCACTAACACAGCCGCGGGTGCGGAATAGGCTGGACACGAAGCCCACGGCGGCGGCGATCTCCGGTACCATATCTGGCCGGCTGCAGTTGTTGACGTAGCTCCCATTCCAGCGCTGCCCTTGGCTCATGTCTGGCTTTGTGTGAAGTTATCTCAGTGCCCTTAAGGCTCCGCAGTGCTTAGAGAAAGGGGACAAACACGGAAACGATGAACTAATTGGCTGGTCCGTCGGTTCGTGGCTGACCCGCCTGAAGTAGGAGCGACTGCTTAACGATGGGCTTCGAGAAGGCTTCTCTCACGTCCGCCACTCGCCTCCTATTTGACATGCCCCTACTACAAACAGGACTCTTAATAATCTTGGAAATTGCAGCCGTCACTAGATGGCTCGCTTCTGATTGGCTGAGCTCTCCTTGATATGCTAATGATAGGTGACCTCAGCAGGGTGGAAGTGGTGACGCGAGTGCTGGGAAAGTCACGCCTTGAGAACATGGTCGAAGCAGCTGGAGGGGGAGGCGGGAGGGGGAAAGCGCCTGCTTTGGGGATATTTATAGGGCTTTGCCTAGCAGGGGAGCTGTAGCACTAAGGGGAAAAAATTGTACCTTGTCACAGGCGCACTAGCGCTGTTTAACAGTTCGACAAATAATTACTGTAGCTACTTATTAGCAAAAGACCCCAGGGAAATCTGGATTTTGCATCCGTTCCGTATTTCCAGACAGAAATACATTACTGGTATACTGTCTGTTCACTAGAAAGAGCCATTTCCTTGTACAATAAAATGGGATGGACCTCACAATGGCTTGTGCTAGAATACATCTGTTAGTCTTTAAGGTAGCACAATAGTCTGCTGTTGTATTTGTTGTAATCGGCTCAGGCTGCTGCTACTCAAGAAATTATTCCTTCAGATTCAGTTTAAATGTGGGGGAATAAGGTTAGGCTGTTCTTTTTCTTTTTTTAAAGAATAAATTGTTTGGGGAGATGCTTTTAGTTTAAGTTATATTCATGCCTTTCTTTCCTTGGAACATTGCAGCATGAATTAAACCAGTTGTAAATGACAAATAAGCAATTTTCTATCTGTAAAAGATTGTGCCATTTGAAGCTGAGGTTACAGCTGAATACTATACATTTAAAACTCTGCACTGGAAAAGTTGCTTAACCCATCAGGCTGAGCACAGACACAAAATGTAACCCAGAATTCAAGTCAAAAAGCACAATGCCTGATCATAAACAGTATTAGCATAAAGTTAGCTTTATGTTTTGTTCATTTGTTTACACTCAACCTTTCCTCCAGAGAAGTACAAAGTTGCTGCCTTCCCTCATTATACAACAACACTAAAATGGAAGTTTAAAAAAGTGGCTAAACCAGCATCATCCAGCAAACTTCACAGATTATTGGCCAATTTGGACCTGAATCTTTTAAATCCTCCTCTGAAATGTTCACTTCTACCAGAAGAATTCCAAAGGCTACATCCATTGATTAGCCTTACCCCATTCTGACTGAGTGTTAGACATTTGTGTTGTTTCTGTCATTTTTTACAGATGCCACTCACGCCTCTCCTGTCTTTGTCTAAATACTTCACTGATCTTGTCAGGATACATGTTTTACCCTATATGTACAGTTTAGCATTTTGAATCTCTCTCTCTCTCTCTCTCTCTCTCTCTCTCCCTCATAATCACCAACCCCTCAAAAAATGCTATCAAGAGGCTGAATACTTTCAAATGCTATGCTGCTTCAAGAACAATTACAACAAATATTATCTCCATCCTCTGCAGGCCAGACTACGTTCATTTTTATTAAAACTCTGCTTTTTGGATGAGTGTTTTTGTGCACACCCCTAGCCTGTCAAGTCATAAACTATAAACAGACACAATAACAGCACAGCCATATATTGTGAAATCCTGAACAGTTTCCTCCAGATGACCAAATAGGAAGAACACAGCATACAGTGCCATTCTGTATGTGTCTACTCAGAAGTAAGCATCTTGCATTTAAAAATACTTGCTCCTGGATACATAGAGTGTTTCAGCTTTCTTACGATTCTTTCTCCTATCCTGATTTCTTTCTGGCCTATTTGCTACCGCATCCTAAAATTAATGAGAATGCAAGTGTTTTAGTCTTGAACAGACATCATGGAAACTTTCAGTATTAGAAGTAACTGGATTTAGAACCAAGAGTTCATATTTTTAGATCTCTGGATGACAGTTTAACTGCTGGATTTGTTTTGGTGCCATGCTAACAAAGAGTTGGTGTGGGTTTAGTATATTTATTGCAGTGGGACAGTTGAAATAAGAGCAAAAGGAGGAAGCAAGATACTGTAGACTATGCGGGAACTGTTCTTACGAGAAGCTGTGCAGAATGACCAAATTTGAGCTACAAAGGAAGTACACATATGGCTGGTGTGGGTCTTCCGGGCTGTGTGGCCGTGTTCTGGAAGTTTTGTTTCCTAACGTTTTGCCAGCACCTGTGACTGGCATCTTCAGAGTGTAGAAGCACAGACAGGAGCACAAGTACACATATGGCTGGTGTGGGTCTTCCGGGCTGTGTGGCCGTGTTCTGGAAGTTTTGTTTCCTAACGTTTTGCCAGCACCTGTGACTGGCATCTTCAGAGTGTAGAAGCACAGACAGGAGCACAGGAGAGAGAGCACAGGAGAGAGAACTGCTCCTGTCTGTGCTCCTGCACTCTGATGATGCCGGTCACAGGTGCTGGCGAAATGTTAGGAAACAAAACTTCCAGAACACGGCCACACAGCCCGGAAGACCCACACCAGCCATATGATGCCGGTCACAGGTGCTGGCGAAATGTTAGGAAACAAAACTTCCAGAACACGGCCACACAGCCCGGAAGACCCACACCAGCCATATGATGCCGGTCACAGGTGCTGGCGAAATGTTAGGAAACAAAACTTCCAGAACACGGCCACACAGCCCGGAAGACCCACACCAGCCATATGATGCCGGTCACAGGTGCTGGCGAAATGTTAGGAAACAAAACTTCCAGAACACGGCCACACAGCCCGGAAGACCCACACCAGCCATCGTATGCCGGCCGTGAAAGCCTTCGACAATACAACAAAGTACACATATACTTTATTCATGTCTCTTCAGACCATTTTTAATCATTTTTTTACATTTCTCCCAACCCAATGGAATGTTGGAAATATATTATGTAAAGGGGCTTGAGACTCTGTCCATTTGTCTGTCTTTTGGCAGAATAAGTCTCTGAAAACTGAACAGAAGGGAGCCAAGGTTGCTGTAGGGGGGGAAGTCAGCAAAAGAAAGATTGAATTTTTTAAATGGGACAGGAGTTGTGGAGAAAAAAAATCAGGAAAAAATTCTTCCGGTGCATTCCTGTGGAGGAGGCAGTTGGGCAGCGTCTTGGAATGGTGCTAACTGCTCTATTCTAAGCCCCCTCCTCCCTCCCAGTCAAAGGACTCGGAGTGGTGCATAGGCACCCCCCCCCCTTGTCCACACATACTTGTACAAAACTCTGTTAAACATACACAAGGGGAAAGCAGAAACACACATACCTGCACAAAACTCTTTGTTACACAGAGGAAAATCTAGATTTCTGCTACATCCATCGCTGGTAAAGGAATTGGGAAAAAAATTCCAACAGCCAGACATTGCATGCTTTTGCTACCTTGTTTTTAAAAAGTCAGTGAGCAGATAACAAATACATTTATTCTCAAGGTTTCCAACTAGAGTTGACCAAAACATTTTGGAAGCATTAGTTTTCCCCCCATGCTGATAAAAATATAAAAATGCAAGAAACAAGAGCTAGCTGCATTAGGGTAAGATTGGACACACACTCAGGAGACACTGCCTTTTCAGGAGGCTTATTTTCATAAGAAGAGAACCCCAGAAGCACCATCCTGAAATGCAAGTGTTGCAGTTCATCTGTCATACAATCCAGCAACCAACTAGTATTATACCAGCACATTTTCAAGCAGTAATTCAGAACAGGTAGCACTTTGGTTTTTTCTGTTTCTTGTGAAAGAATCATAAACACTTTGTGTATACATTAATGGTGACTGCAGATGAGGAAAAGACATCAATACCAGTCAATTGCAGATCATCCTCATTAAGCAATAGTGCAAAGGGGTAGCTCATCCATTCATCATCTGCATCACTGAATTGGAGGCACTAACCATATCTTTCATTAGAACTAGCTTTGTCTTTGTAGGCCTTGTAATAAACCAAAGGATTAAAGTCATTTAATGGATTTGCATTTTAAATCATAGCACTCGTGGGAGGAGTTCATGTAAGCAATTACAGTGAGGACATTGACAGTCATCAGCTGAGGGTTCTTGTTATTTAGGTTACATTTCTACCAGCAGCACCTGCAACTTGGGCTTTGAGGTAATAAGATGAGCCACATACTATTACTATAGTGTGACTTGATCCTGAGATATGGCTACTGATTGGTTGCGCTTCCATAGCTTGTAGTGCATAGCTTCAACTTTTTAAACTTGTGCCACCAAAATTCTAATTCCATCAACACAATTCTGAATTGCTCTTACATTTTTTTCTGTATATTTAGTACCAGCAAACAATGATCCATTACAGATTTCTAACTCAATATACTGTACTTAAAAGGCATTCTCATTTCAGCATGATATAATCCTCTTTCCTCAACATGCCTTAAAAAAAAAACCTTCTGCAGAATGTTTTCATTTGATACAATACTACCTTGTTCTCCAGTTCTGGTTTTTCTTTTTTCCTTTTGTCTTTTGTTTTCTTTACTACAAATGTGTTTCTGCAAAAGTTGTAGTGTGGGTAAAGTTTTAGGCTGGCATAAAGGCTCCCCCCCCCCATATTGCCAGTAGAGTATATGATGTTACATCTGGAAGCTTTAAGATAAATAGATATAAAGATCATAGACCAAATATGAAAGCTATACAAGAATATGGATCTTATTGGCCAGTTAAAATGACAGGAAGTCTAATTGTGGATAAGCATTTAAACACAAGTGGGTTTTTTGTAAGTTTTATCTGTAAAAATATTCCCTGTTTTCTAAAGGGGCAATTCTATGGCAATCCATATATAATAATCTGGGAGTAAATTCCAGTGAACTCAAAGGGGCTTCTTTGGGGTAGGTCTGCATAAGGTGATAGATTTGTACAACGATGCTCTAGTTACTGAAGTGATGGAGGAATTCTGATGTAAAGGAGTATGCTTTTTAACATAATTATTTTTAAAAAGAGTTTTCTTGAGGTTAGAAATTATTGAACTGAACTGTGCTTAAAAATCTCTTCCCCTTCCCCACCCCCATCAACCACTATCCATTTTCCTTCCTTCCTTAAAAATTTTAAAATATCAGTTTACATCAACAAATTAAAC